CTGGGATGAAGCATCCTGAGGCGCCAAAGTCAAGGGCCTGGGACTGTGCTGGCCGTGTGAAGACCAGTCCGTGGGCACGCTCAGAGAGAAAAATGTAGTCAGTCATGCCAGCCTCTCACTCTCAGCACGGCCTTTGACATTTTATTAATTAATTAATTTTCGAGACAGGGTTTTTCTGTGTAGTTTTGGTGCCTTTCCTGGAACTCGCTCTGCAGACCAGGCTGGCCTTGAACTCACAGAGATCCGCCTGGCTCTGCCTCCTAAGTGCTGAGATTAAAGGCGTGCGCCACCTCCCAGCTCAGCCTTTGACTTTTTATGCCACAAGAGGGTTTTAAGTAGAATAGCTCCGTCTGTCCTCTATTCTAGAGGATCCCTGTGCCTGTCAAGCAGAGAGAGAAGCCAAGAAGCCTGTGAGACAAGTCGGGTGAAAAATGCTACTTGTGGGAGGGGCGCGGGGGAGAATTTAAAGCCTGGATTTGCTGACCGTTCCATTGAGAGGGCTGAGAGAAAGACAGCACTCAACCGTGGCTCCGGGGTTTTTTCTTGGAGACAGTTCCCACAAATGGGCAAAGTTTTTATTATTTGATGAGCTCCACTATACATAGAACGCTGACAAGCAGAGATGCAGGCGTCCCTGGGATGCAGGTGCCGGGCCAGGATGTCTGTACCTCCTCTGCCCCCATCTGTGAAAGCCAGACATCTTCAGGGAGACTGAACCTCGGCTCATCCCTTTGTAGCATAAACCTGAGTTTTCCAGGTGGTCCCAGGCATCCAGGGGTGGCTGCATCTTGGGGAAAGGTCTGCAAGAGGGGTACATCATGGGGCAGACATTCCCGAACCTTCTGAGTTTACTGAATCATTAATATCTTGGCGACTTTTGAATGGTATCCCTGGGAAGCATCCCATTATTGGCTAATTAGGCGCCAACAACTTAATAAGTAGCGATGCCCTCAACAGTTAGGCTTGCTTCCTTAACCTGAAATCAAGCGATAACTTCACTCATAAATCAGTACTAGTTTACTCCAGCAGGTGGATTCTGAGCATCACAAAGGTTCCCTGTCTGACCTTAGGTTTAGGTCAGATCCACCAGCCCACTTTCCTTTTCTGTATTGATTGCCACAGTCTTTTCTCTGTAAAGAGTGTTGAAAATCCAGCTTTATAAAGAGTTGATACCATTTTAAAGCAAGTTTGTCATGTAATGCTGAAATTGTGAGCACCTTCAAGCTAAAGGTTGCATGGTGTGTGACAGACACAAAATGTTGGCATCTCTCTCAAAAAGCCAAAATGTCTTCCAAAGCCCCTGGCAGTTTGGTGACCTGGGATGCCTTGATGCATAGTTAGGGAGCTGAAGGCTTTGGACATTCGAAGGAACTAAAAGCAATCCAGTCCTGTGGGGAGTGAAAGGAAGGTAAATATCAGACAGGGGGCGCTCGTGAATGATTGGTTAGTGACATTTTATCCAGGCAGATGGAACACTGGGCACACACAGTCTCTGGAAACACATGTGATAGATGCATAATAATGATAGGAGATGGATAATAGGCAGACAGAGAGACAAACAAGCATGTGTATTCACTCGTACACACGGAATAGCCATAACGCATCGTGACGACCTCATCTCCAGGGTCCTTCACGGTGGAGGGACAGAACTGATTCCTGCTAGTTATCCTCTGACAACCACATGCACAAAATGAAATCTCTTAAAATTTTAACTATATATTATTGATTTTTGACTTGATAGGAAGTTAGAGAAGGCTTAGCTTTTTAAACCATGGGATGGATATTAGACCTTGAGCTGCAATGGGCAGCTGACCAGGCCAGGCATGATGCTGCATGCTTAAATCCCAGCAATGAAAAGGCTGAGGCAGAAGGATTGCAAGTTTGAGGCCAGCCTGGGCTACACAGCAAAAGAAAAAAAAATCAAGGCAAGAAAGGGTGAATTGTATAAGCAACTGTGCAGATGTGGCACTGCTTAGCACATCTGGGAATGGTACAGGACCATTTGGGCCCATGGATTAAAACCACAGGTGAAGAGTGGATGGGCAGCCTCTGGCAGGTGGGTAGGTGGCTCAGTGGTGTATCAGTTACTTTTCTGTTGCAGTGACCGTGTACCAAGGCTATTTAAGAAGATCCAGAATTCCAGAAGGAACTTACAGTTCCAGGAGGAGAATCCATGGTGGTGGGGGAGGCATGGCAGCAGGTAGCCAGAGCAGGATGCTGAGAGATCACACCATCAACTGCAGACACAAAGCAGAGAAAGAGAGGGGGGAAAACCCTAGAAGTGGGGTGAGGCTCCACGAGTTGCTAACCTGTAGTGACATACTTCCCCCAGCAAGACTCCGCTTCCTGAAGACTTCAGAACCTCTCCAAAACAGCATCCTCATTGGGGAGCTGAGTGTTCAACTACAGGAGCCCACGGGGGACATTTTCCATTCAAACTACCAGTGGATAAAGCACCTTGTGTATAAGCCTAAGGACCAGAGTGTGGACCTGTAGAACCCACATAAAAAGCCAGGTGGGTGTGGCAGCCGCCTGCCATTTCAGCAAGTGGGAGGCAGAGACTGAACCCCTGTAGCAAGCTGGGCAGTCAGACAAGCCAGGATAGTGTCCCCTGGGTTCCTCAAGAGACCCTGCCTCAGCATATAAGGTGGAGAGTAGTCTGGGAAGATACTTGATGTCAACCTCAAGCCTCTACACGCACACACACATATGTGCATGCTCACCCATACTCACATGTGCCCATGCACACACACATGCTTACATGCCACATACACAGGCCAAAGAAGGAGGAGAGGGAGGTAACCCAGGGCCTAACTACGACTAGATTTGAATGAGGTACTGTGAAGTGTCAACTCTATTATGTCAACTACAGGGAGCTGTCACAGAATCCTGTGGTGACTGATGTGATCAATTTCAGAAAGACAGATGTCAGCGTGGAGACGAGCAGGAACGGGGAACAGCTGGTACAGAGACTAAAGGGTGGCCGTGTGAGTCAGCCATTGCTGCATTCATGTGGTTACAATGTGTTTTCACTCCAGGTTTTTCCTCGATAATGCGCCTACAGGTTGGCTGAGGGGGTCCAGGCTGGTTCGGGGCAGCTCCCGGTCTCTTCCTTGACCTCCACAGAGTTCTGTCAGGGACTAATCGGGGCAGGTTGCTCCCAGAGTTGACCTCTGTGCCACAGACTTAGCTCATGTGAAGGCGTGTGGAAAGCCTTTGCTATTACCATCCCTACTCACTGGACCAAGTACGTAGCTGATCCAAAGCCACCGTGGCAGATAAACATGCTCTGCCCCCTCTAGGACCCTGCGATGGAAAGGAGAAAGAATGGCTCTGTTAAAAAGTCTCTCGTCACCGTAGTAGTAGCACGAGCTAATTAGGGCAACGACAGAGGAAACTGGGACACAGGGAACTGAGGGCCTTTGGTATTAAGGATCTTGGCGGTCTTCTATTAGTGAGATCTCTCTTGGCCATATTGATGATCTACTAACACCTGTTAGGTGCTTAGTAGGGATAAACAGCACATTAAGTGCTTATGTACACAGACCGATGAGATCCTGTCAAAACCACCAGGATCCAAGAACTAACATTTTCTCCATTTCAGGGGCGAGGAAACCAAAGCTTGGTAGTTACATAACTGAGCAAGACTAAAAGGCTATGGCGAAGTGTGGATTTGAATCCGTTATGCCTGTCGCCATGGTCTACATGTATGATCACAGCAAACATGGTCTCTCATCAACTGGGCCTATTGTAGAGTGAAGCCTACAGGAAATGATCTGTGGAACCATCGTGGGGTCTAGATGCCCCGCTTCAGGCCACGAGGCATATTCTTACAGATGCAAATTAGCTAGGAACTTAAAACAATTTACAAAATGTGTGTGTGTGCGTGTGCACATGTGTGTGTGCACGTGTGTGGGTGTGTGTGCACATGTGTGTGGGTGTGTGTATGCACATGTGTGTGTGCATGCACATGTGTGTGTGTGTGTGTGTGTGTGTGTGTGTGTGTGTGTGTGTGTGTGTGTGCACAGCGGGCATGTGGAGGTCAGAGGATAATTTGTGGGAGTTGACTCATTCCTTCCAACCATGTAGGTCTGGCACCTTCACCTGCTGAGCCATCTTGGCAGCCTGGGAAAGGTTTTTTTTTTGTTTTTTGTTTTTTGCAAAGCAACAATCAAAAGTAAGCTGAGCAGAGAAAGCTGACATAGGAGGCATGGTGTCACGGGAATTCACACGGCTTGCAGCAGAAAGGAGTGAGTGGTACCATCCCCATTGCCGGGGCTCTGCAAGACCTGCCTTTGCTGAGGAGATTAGGGTAATCTCAGAGATAAAATCTTCAGACTGGAGACTGCCGGCATCACAGGGAGCGGGGGCATTAAAATCTCTCTCTGTGGAAGAGAACAGTAAATTTAGAGGAAGCAATAATGTCTGGAATGAGGATAGAAGGCTAACTAAATGATTATCGAGTAGAATGGGGAAGAATCGAGACAGAACAGCTCAAGGAGGAAAGGAAGCATTTCTGGAGTTTTAGGAAACCTTGGGTGTTGAATAGCCTATTATATGTTGACCAAGAGTTTAACACTTGGGTCTGGGGACGGGTACAGATCTGGAGACTCAGATGATCCGAGGTGGAAGGTGCCCAGTCCTGCTGCACACCCAGGGCATCTGGATGCACCATGAGTCGCTAATCTTAGTTCAAGGATGTGCTCCACAATCCATGCAAGATTGTGTGTTTGTGAGTGTGTCTGTGTGCATATGCACACAGGTATACACACATGGAATGAGTCATTTTTTCTGAAGCAAAAGAAAAGCCAATGGTTTTCATCAGATTTTTCAAAGGGGTCTTTGAGTCTAAAACTCTTCCAAGCAGCTGCTCTTTTTTTTTTGTTTTGTTTTGTTTTGTTTTTGTTTTTCGAGACAGAGTTTCTCTGTGTAGCTTTGCGCCATTCCTGGAACTCGCTTTGGAGACCAGGCTGGCCTCGAACTCACAAAGATCCGCTTTGCTCCTGGTGTTTATTTGGTGGGCTCAGGACTGCTCTGAAATGGAATTATTTATGAGGAGTTTATCGTGGTATTTAAGCTTGCAAACGGACTGCAATTTTTTCTAACTTTTCTACATACGAGATGTCTTATAAACCACACCACATAAAGCCTTTTGCCTCATTTCAACCGTTCCTCTTCTCCCTGTCCTGTTCACAGTCACCATGATTTAGTTACTCTGTCGGAGTGCCTTCCCCAGGTGTCCACTGTTTGCTCATGCGAGAGAAGAATCAGCGGCTCATCCGTGCATCCATCCATCCATCCATCCGTCTGTCTGTTTGTCTGTCCGTCCAATGATTAGACACTGAAAGTCATCTGCACACGAAACACACCAAGCCCAAAGAGCCATTTTAACTAAGTGGCCAAATTACCGAACACCTTTAAGTTTGGAGTTAATAAGCCAACAACATAGGTAAAAGGAAATAATAAAATATATTCCAATTAATTGAAATAATGCAGATAAAGAGAAGACAGGACAGGACAGGTGGCAACAAATAGAAAACAGCTCAATTTTAGATTAACCCTAATCATATTAATAATGAAATATAACTTGCTTACCCATCCACTTGAAAACTAGAAATTGTTAGATTGTGAGCTATGTTAGCGCTAGGTGATTGACACATATATTCTTCATCTTTGTGGCAAGAATAATCATCCGACAGTCTTCAAGTATGTAACGTGTTGTTATTAACTACAGTTGCATAGTCCGATAGATCTGAGACAGTTCCTTCTAATCCTTGGTGTCCTTTGACTAAGCAGCCCCTCATCCCCTCACCCCCAGGGTCTAATGAATCCATCTTACTCCCTGTTTGCAGGATCTCAACTTTACCAGATGCCACATGTACGTGAGATCAAGCAGTCTGTGTCTTTCTGGGCTCGGTTTGTCTCACTTACGTCTTTCAGGTTAATAATCCCAGCGTCATAACTGAAAGGATCCCTTTACGTAGCATTCCACCCTGTGGCCACACGACATTCCCTTTATCCAGTCATCCACTGATGGGCATTTGGACTGATTGCGTAGCTTGGAATGTGGAATTGCAGGTATTTATTTGGCATACCTCTTTTGTGTCCACTGGTTACATTTTATTATTCATGCATTTATTTGTTGTGGGAAGGCCAGCACTTGTATGGGTATAGAGATCAGAGGACAATTTGTAGGAGTCATTGCTTTTCTTTCTTCTGGGTCCTGAGGATTGAACTCTGATGGTCAGGCTTGGCAGCAAGTGCCTTCCCCATACAGGCATCCTCTCTCCCTCCACCAGTCACACTCTCAGTACTGGCTTTGCTGGATCATATGGTAGTTCTATTTAGATTCTGGATTTTTGACCCACTTTCATACCATTTTCCATCATGACTGTATAAGTTTGCATTCCTACCAATAGTACATCAGGCGCTACTTTTCTCTACATGCTTGCCATAAAAAATATATTTTAAAAATATTTTTTATAATAATCATTCTAACATGTGTGAGATGACAGGTCATCAGGGTTTAATTTGCATTTCTCAGATCATTGATAGTGAGTATTTTTTCACATGTCTTGGCCTTTGTCTATTTTCTTTTGTAAAATGTTCATTCAGGGCTGGGTGTGGTGGCACATGCCTCTAATCCCAGCACTCGGGAGGCAGAGGCAGGCAGGTCTGAGTTCAAGGCCAGCCTGGTCTACAGAGTGAGTTCCAGAACAGCCAGGGCTACACAGAGAAACCCTGTCTCAAAAAATCCAAACCAAAACAAAGCAAACAATGTTGGTGGTCAGAGGAGCAGCAGGTGCCGATTGAAGTTCAAGGTGTCAGCCCACCAGGAGGCGAATCCCTGATGGGTCAATCTCAGAGAGGCACCCCCCCCCCTCCGAGAACACTGGGATGTCTTTAGCTTCTGCTGTGCCTTCACATGTTTGCTGTATCTTTCTCTGGTATCTGGCATGGTGTGAATGGGTGTGGGGAGATCCCCACTGCCTGTAATGTGGTGTGTTTATCTCATGGAAACACCTTTTCTACTGGGCATTTTTACCTATGGATTATTTTGAAGATGATTCCTTCCTAAATTGTACTGTCTAATTGATAATAATAATAATAATAATAATAATAATAATGTTAGTTTAAATAGGGTTTTGATGATAAAAATTATAAACAAGGAAGTGTCATACTGCTACAACACATGAGCTTCTACTGAGAAGCTGTATAGACTGTGGCTTAGGTTAATGATTAAGAAAAACAATTGAGTCCCAGTTAGCCCAGCTAGTTTAAATTCTTTTAATCTTACTGTTGGAAGATGTGTTCACAGGTTTCAGAGTGTATCATAGCTGAAACAAAGCTTTGAAAATAACTTAAAGTTAGACTAAGATGTTTTTGTCCAATAGCTTTGAGGTGAAAAACCCAAGAAGATAATCTAAAGTTTTAGAAAGACACACAGTTGAGTGTGGAACTCTTTAAGGCCAGGGAACAAGAACAAAGCGGTCCAATTATTACTAGCTGATGTACTTTTCTTGCTAGGATTGGTTGATGATCGAAGGTGATGATTAATTCCTTGTACCCATTTCTGCCCTCAGCCTCCTGATATAAAAACTATTGATGAGTGGGTATGCACCCCAGAGATTTAAAGTAGAGCTGAATGATTCTTTTTTTATATGCAAAAGTTTAGGTTTGTGATTCCTTTAAGATGTCATAACCACATTCACATATTTCAATATACATTTCTCAATAAGTAATAGAGCTGGTGAAGAGAATCGGAAGGATATCAGAGTGGCTCTACCCATTGCTTTGACCTAACTGATGTTTATTGGGTATTCACAATGTGGAGGATACACTCTTCTCAAGTACTCATGGGACATTTGCTTAGAAGGATCTTCTGAGTCATGAAATAAGTCTCAAAAATTACAATCTTTGAAGTCATACAAACCATGGCCATAGAGAACAATGCAATGGAATTAGAAGCAGACAACAGAAAGTTATATGGGAAGTCCTTGAATATTTCAAAACTAGATAATACATTTCTAAATAGCATAAGAGTGAAATGAAATTGTAAAGTAATCTTAATGGAATTTAAATGAAAACCCAGCATATCAAAATGTGTGAGATGCAGCTAAAGCAGTACCTAGGGAGGAATCTGTAGCATTAAAAGCCTAGCTTAGAAAAGAATGGACTGAGACCAATGCTGTGGGATAATGCTTTTGTACACTGGTTTAAAACGCTCATTGGCCAGTAGCCAGGCAGGAAGTATAGGCAGGATAAGCAGATAAGGAGAATTCTGGGAAGAGGAAGGCTGGGTCAGGAGATACCAGCCCACTGTCCAGGGAGCAGCATGTAATGGTACACAGGTAAAGCCACGGAAAACGTGGCAACATATAAAAGTGGGCTGAGTTAAGTGTAAGAGCTAGACAGTAGTAAGCCTGAGCTAATGGCCAAGCAGTTTTAATTAATATAAGCCTCTGTGTGTTTACTTGGGTCTGAGCAGCTGCGAACCATACAGGACACCAGAAAACTTCAGCTACAGACCAGTGGCCTCAGGCTTAAGAAACCGGGGGAAGTAGAGGCTGAGCAAGTGAAATTATAAATAAACAAACGAAAGGAAATGAACCCAGAGTGGGAGTCCATGACAAACTGTACAAGTTTCTTGTCTTAGTCAGGGTCTCTATTGCTTCCATGAAACACCATGACCAAAGAGCAAGTTGGGGAGGAAAGGGTTTATTTTGCTTACACTTCTAGATTATAGTTCATCATGGAGGAAGTCAGGACAGGAACTCAAACAGGGCAGGAACCTGGAGGCAAGAGCGGATGCAGATGCCATGGTGGGGTGCTGCTTACTGGCTTGCTCCCCAAGGCTTGCTCAGCCTGCTTTCTTATGGAACCCAGGACCACTAGCCTAGGGATGGCCCCACCCACATGGGCTGGGCCCTCCCCTACTGATCACTAATTGAGAAAATGCCTTATAGCTGGATCTCACAGAGGCATTTCCTCAGCTGAGGTTCCTTCTTCTGATGACTCGAGCTTGTGTCAAGTTGATACACAAAGCCAGATCGTACATCTCTGAAGAAAAGGCAACAAAAACAGGAAAGTGCTTACCAAAGAGGGAGAGGGGAGAAGGGAAAGGAGAGAGACAGAGAGAGAAATGACCAATACATATCAGGAACGAGAGATAACATCACTATAAATTGTATGGATGGTAAAAGAATAACATAAAGTGATATGAACAATTTTATGCTCATAAACTTAACAACTTAGATGAAATATGCCTATGTTTTAGTTACTTTTCTGTTGCTGTGAAGAGACACCATGACCATGGCAACTTACAGAAGAGAGAGTTTATTGGGACTTACCACTTCAAAGGTTAGTTAGTATGGTCATCATGGCAGGCAGCAGACAGCAAGCAGGCAGCAGACATGTAGGTATGGCGCTGGAGCAGTAGCTGAGAGCTTACATTCTTGTCTGCCCCGAGAGAGAGCTAACTGGGAAGATCACAGTTTTTAAAACCCCAAAGTCCAGCCAGGTGGTGGTGGCGCATGCCTTCAATCCAGCACTTGAGAGGCAGATTTCTGTGAGTTCGAGGCCAGCCTGGTCTACAGAGGAAGTTCCAGGACAGGCACCAAAACTACACAGAGAAACCCTGTCTCAAATAAACAAACAAAACAAAACAAAACACAACCTCCAAAGTCCATTCCCAGTGACACACCTTCTCTAATAATCCTTGCCAAACAGTGACATCAGCTGGCGACCAAATATTCAAACATCTGAGTCCATTTTCATTCAAACCACCACAAAACCCATACACATTAAGTAAATAATAAAAACATTTTTTTAAAAAACAGAAACAGAATTGTGTTCATTTGTAAATGATACATGCTTTGGGGCTTTTCCTAGGGAGTCTACTTTTATTCATCCTAGACAGAGAGGATGACGATAGCTTAAAGAACCGATTCCTCACAATCTGGTGAACCAGTAAGTTTTCCGGGAGCTTGGGCAGCTTTCAGGAAGCTAAACTACTGAAGAAAAATTGTGCACCCACCCCAGCAACCCACCCCACCCCACCCC